ACTCTATACACTGGCAATGTATTGCCTATGCACTACTTTAACATAAATCACAGAAAAATCAGTCATTGCAATCAGTCAGGCTTTTATTCTTTCAGGGTCCTTAGGCACTTCCAGTGAGAAATGGGACAGTGGACATTTGGGGATTTTGGGACATAGTTCTACTGGATTTGAGCCGTTACATCTCAAAGTAAGCTGGCCACTCATACCAGGCTTCCTTAAACTCTTTGGCCACTTAAAGCAGCCACATCATACTACAACTGGGGCTGGGCTGACCATTCGAATGAATTAACTTAGCCTGAAAATTAATGACCTACATTTTCTTCTACCACAAATATTCATTATTAGCAGATTACAATCTGCTTGATTTTTGCTTCCTTTACTGCCTTACAAAAATCCAAGCCCACAGCTGTTTACTACAGCTTTTGAGATGTGAAGCTTGAGCAGCACAGGTCCTACTGCACAGCTGTAGTCAGAGTCACATGAAGGAGACAAGTCTACAGACTTGGGTCACCTAGTACAGCCAAGGGCTCCACCCCATTTCTCACTTGCTCCAATTACCTTGAGGAAGGAGAGAATCAGATGGGCAAAAGTGACAAAAACGTGTGAGTTAAGGTAAATATAGCTTAATTATTGAAGGAAAAGGGGAAAAACAAAACAAAACAGGTAATGCAAAGGCGATCAATCACTTGACACCTGCAGAAATAAAGCCCAGCCAGTTTCTACTTTGGAAAATTTGTCTTCCCAGTTCTTTCCAGTTTTATTGCTGTCTGTAACATTATGGTAGGGGATATCCCTTGAGTCAGCTTATGGCAGTCCCAGCTGTGTCCCCACCCAACCTCCTGCCCATCCCAGCCTCCTACCTGATACAGCAGTGAGACCAAGAATGCCCTGAGGCAGTGCAAGCACAGCAATCACGGAAACATTGCTGCCTGTTATCGACACTGCTTTGGTCACTGCAACACAGCACTGTACAGGCTGCTATGATGAAAATTAACTTCACTCCCACCAGATTCTGTACAGACAGATAAAAAAGATAATAGGGCTGTCAGTCCATTGCTAGCCCAGTACTGCTACTGCTATGCACAGCAAAAACTAATACATAGATATCTCTCTGTTCAAAACATTCAGCCTTCAACAAAAGTTTGAGAAATTGAGGTGGGAGAAGGAATCCAAGTCACTCCAAGAAGCAGTGGAAGGGTTCAGTGCTCAGGACTTCAAGCACAGTCCTCCAAGTCTTCATTCACTGGCCCCACTTTCCTGTTGCCACATTATGTGATCAAAGACGTCTGAATTCAGTTTCCTTCTCTTTACTACTGAATTATTTCACCTTTATGTTTTAAGACATTAATGCTTTATGTTGTTATTTTATGGCACTTTGCTGGCACGGAGAGAGGATGAGTACAAAGTATCTGGAAATCAGATCAACAACAAGGTAGGATATGTAAGACCCCCCCAGCCCAACGACAATTATATAGATTTGATCCCACTGGAACATGGATCGTCTTTGGGAAGGGAAGTCTAGGGTGCTTTGTGTTGTGTTTGCATAACCTCACCGGGCTCTTAGAAAGGCAGTGGTAGTTCCAGCCCTGAGTTTCCTGTTCTGTTTTTCCCAAGGGTTTTCCTCAAGGTAGAAGAAGTGACTCATAAGAGCTTATGATAATAAAAAAGAATAAAGCATTTCACAAAGCCTAACATCCAGGATTAGAACCATGTTTCCTACTTTATCTCACATTGGTTCAAGTAAATGCAACATGTTACCAGAAGCATTACCACCAAATGACATTAGGGATAAAAAGGCATCACGGTGTGATAATAAAAGTCTAGGGAGTGAACAAATATAAAGCAAAAACATTCATCTGTCTCCAGTGTGTTTTAATAAGTTTTTTAATAAGTTAAATAAACTAAAAGGGTGAGTTAGATTTCAGCAGCAGTTAATCTTTCCCCTGACACAATGCAAGGTCTCTTTTTAGGGATGCTAAGCAGAAAATCTGCTAAATGCCATATTATGGCTAATCTGGGAGCCTGCCAGTTCATTGCCTGCTTATATTAAGTTTCCCAGGTGATACTTTGGGCTTCTCTGGAAACCTTTCTGATCCATAGGGCTAATTTCATTTCCTAGAGCATAAAACATGCTATATTTTAAGGTTATGGCCAACAGATGCGTAAGACGATCACCTGCAGCTCCCTGGGTCTAGTCTTAATCAAACAGTGCAGCTTACTGGTAGGAGATATTGTGCCTGATGTCACCTTCTCCACTGATTGCCTTCCACTATCACATAGAACTTATCACCATAATGCAGTTTTAGAATAAATGGGGTCATAGACTCATAGAATCATAGAATATCTGGGGTAGGAAAGAACCTCAAGGATCACTAATCTCCAACCCCGCACTGCCACAGGCAGGGCCACCAACCTGCCCATCTAATACTAGACCAGGCTGCCCAGGGCCCCATCCAACCTGGCCTTGAACATCTCCAAGGACGGGGCATCCACAACCTCTCTGGGCAGCTGTTCCAGCACCTCACCACTCTCTCTGTAAAGAATTTCCCCCTGATATCCAACCTAAATCTTCCCTCCTTCAATTCAAAACAATTTCCCCTATTTATTATCTACTCTTTCAACTATTTGAAAGGGGTTTAGTATAGCATTCAGGTTTCACAAAATGTGAGATAGTTCAAATAGTTTCTTCCTGGAACATATCCCTGCAGCATGGGTCTGAGTGTTCAAGCATGCAGGACTAGTGAAGTAGCAGTTTCTGCTAAGGCAAAAAGGAGCATTACCTGTTTAGACAGTTTTGGCTGTCAGCAGGGGTGTTTTTGTCCCATGTGTACAATCATAAAACTAGACAGGTCAAAGCTCTGCGTCAGGGTGTAGCCACAGGGTGCTGAACTTCAAAATTGAAGCCATACCGTTCAGCTAAAGCTGGGTCAGCTGCAAGGCAGCAAGCAGCATTTTGGCATCAGCAGCTTGGCGAACCCAAGCTGCAGGCCTGCACAGGTGTGAACACATTAAGCTGCAAGCTCTTGGGAAGTGCTTCTCCTTGCAACTGCTAGATGGGGAATTATTACAGCTTGGCTGTCACCACCAGTGTGAAAAGTAGGTGTGATATTTCCTGGTTCAATTAAGTAGGAACCCTCGTGGAATGAGTCCATTCCATTTTAAGTGTTTCCCCTTTCCTTTGCAAATTGGTGACACGGAAACAATGCAATGTACTGCTGTGAAATGACAGCTTACTCCAGCCCTTCCGGAACAGAAGCCCTTGAGGCTCACACCAAGGGAGCTTGATTAGGTTAGTAATCACTGCAGCACATAAAAAGCACTTATACCCTGAGACACGTTGTAAATAAAGACTTACGCTGGTTCTGCCCTTAAAGCCAGGGAGATTTAAGCAATATGGCTTTTTTCCAGTGCTGAGGGAGGAGAAACTGAGGCAGTAAAATCCTGAAAGCCAGCAATTATTCAAGAGGGGATGCTGAAAGCACTTGAGGGCTCAAAGCTTGCGATATTTTACCCAGAGTTTGTAGCATGGGACCAAAGGACAGGATTTTCATTAAACCCAAGAGCTCTTAGGGGCACAAACTGTATTTTTCTCAAGTGGTGCTGACAGTCCTATGCAAATTCTCTCCAAGAGCTGTTGCCACACAAGGGCTGCGTGTGCTGTTGGTGCTTCACTGCCCACCTCCTGCTGCTGTGAGGGATCAGCAGGTTTTCTCATAGTGGGGAGGCCTCTTCTGAGGTCTTCTGTACTTTTCTCCTTTGGCAGCCCCAGCACTTAACATGACCACTAGCTAATAACTTATCTAATCACTCATTTATCAAAACCCGAGGAAATAATCTCTGCCAAATCATTTCAGTTGAAAGAACTGGGGTGAGAGTTACTTTGTGATCCAGGGCTCTCTGCTCACAGGTATGACTGTGGGAGCCCTAAATCCTTTCTTCTCTACTTTACATCTGGTGCTATGAGATATCTGAGAAACAAAACCAGGTAATTCCTTCACCTGTCCCTTCTTCCTCAGAGCAATCTCTAGTTTTAGTTGCCCCCTCCATCCTTTTGGCAGTAGGACATCACAGGAGTTCCTTCCAATGCAGCCAGGAAATTGGGAAACATAAATATGACACAATTACCTTAAATTACCAAAAATATTATTTTTATGGAAGAAGACTTAAAATTTGACTTATTCCAGACATGAAGCAGCGAGAGATACATAGTGAGATTATAGGGGAGTTTCAATGACCGAGGTTCACCCATGGCCTTCAGAGAGCAGGAATAATTCTGCTCCCAGCTTCACAGTGGTTTGTATACTTTCAGCTCACACACTGAACCCTCTGTTTGCTTGGACTTTGGAGATTCAGTCACTCCAGTTAGCACAGAGTTAGGACAACTCTGCTACCTGCCAGTTTGCTCCTGGCCGTAGCCACAAATGACTGTCCTGTGTGTGCCTATACATATCCGTGAATCAAATAAACATCTGAATGTACAACACAGCTCCACTCAGAGTGCTATCAGAAGACAAACTCAATCACAGCAATAAAAAGTGCAAGATAACGTTTTCCACTTGTTCCCAAGTGACATACTTTAGCAGCCCTTGGCGCATCCCTCTTCATGCACTTGCCTCACTCCCCAAAGCTATGAAGATGCTTGTGTTGCTGAATCCAAGTCTCCTTTGGGTATCCAAGGCTCTTCTATCTGTTCTTCCAGTGAGATTAATAAATACTATACACACTGAACTTCGGCAAGGCCCATCCCAGGGGCCCCATTGTCCCTCTAAAACATGTCATTTTGGTTTCTTGCCATCCCTTTTGGAACACATGATTGCCAACAGACCAATAACACCTACGTGCCTTGCAATCAATGTCTGTTCTTCAACCTGCAGCACCGTGCTTTTATTTGATCGATTCCTCTCCTGACCCATAATACATAAGGCTCCCCAGTGGTTTTGCATTTGAGCTCTATCTGGTGCATATCGGCTGTGTGTAGCAAGTCTCAGTACCCAGCCCAGCTGGATAAGTTCTCAAGCAGATCAAGACATCACCATGTCCCAGCGCTGACTCATGGCTGTGCTCTCACAAGGGTTGATGACGAGTTCTTTGGTGCTCTCGTTCGTGTCCCCAATGGTCTCAGTGTCCAAACAGAAGCGTGAAGCTATGTGCTCAAGGTGTGACCCAACTTTACCCCATTGCTGCTGAAAAACACACCAGAGGAGAAACAGCGGTAAATAAATTTCCTCCTCCTCAATACGCTTTTATTATGCTGCTCAGCATCCAGAGACAGTTGTCACTAAGACTTTTTGGCCTGACACAGGGAAGCACAGGTCTGCCCAGCCTATGCCAAGCAGATGACATGCTGAGCCCTTCTCCCATCTGAAGCACTCATTTAAGCTCAGCCTCTGCTTGGTGTTAGAAAGATAATGTATTGCTAATGGCTTTTTCTCCAGGTCACTGGTTCAAATGCCAGCTCAATGATTAACTGCAGAGAAACGTTAGCCTATTCTGGCTGACTGACAGCCCATGTGGACTAAATTGCCAGTTTCAGTTTGACTTCTGCAGATAAGTATCCAGATCACCACCTGCACTAATAGACATCCTTATCAACGCACTCATTTAAGAGGTAAAGGGCTGAACAGGGTAAAGCCTGTGCCCCCAGACTGACTGTACTTCCCTGAAGTCAGAGCATATCACAGTGATTTGATGTGCAGTGATATTATGCTGCAAGAAAGGGAGCTTCAAAGAAAATAGGGGGTCAGTGAAAGGGCTCACCTGCTTGTTGTCACTTTCTTTGCAAGGTGACAGGAGCACTGGGGAGCCAGGGAACAGGGTATACACAGACAAGCACAGCTGCTGCTGACGGACTTGGTGGTTGTATGTGTACGTCCACTCCTGCAAAGAGAAATAAGAGAGAAAGGAGATGAGAAATCAAGGTTAATTGTTGGAGTTCCTCAACCTGGAAAGCAAACACTATGGCCTGGATCCTGCCCCTTCTGAAACCAATCAGAAAACTCATTGGCTTCAAGAGGCACCAGGACATGTCACTAGGGATGCTCCAAGTCTCTCTAAATCTGCAGCTGTCACTGGCAGATCGCTGTACCAAAGCAAATGTCCCTGAGAGTAGCTAGAAGAAAACTGTTCACAAGGTAAAGATAGGCAGAACTGGGCTGTAGTTAGGATTAGGTTATTCCTGGAAGCTGAGAGATCCCTTTCCCTGATGTTCACAGCAAGGTAAGCAACACTCCTATATGCCTGTAGCATTTTGTACAAATCAAGATAGCTCAGTTATTAAGCATGTAGTAAGCAGGAGAGGGTTTGACCACCAGGAAACTATCACAGATTGCTTTGTCACCATTTCTAGTTTAATTGTTGATTATGTTTAATAAATTCTTCAGGCTAACTTCATAAGATCTTGTTTTTCTCATTCACCTGCAACAAGACTGAACTCCAAATGTTTGCGAGCACTGATTTGCTATGACTTTTGAACTTCACCCTCTGACTTCAAAACAGACAGTACAGTACAGTAATTCCTTTAATACAAATCACGCTTCATTCAGGTCCTTAGCCACTCAGAAGGGAAAGCATATTCTTGCACAGCAGACTCAGATCTACAGGGACTTCACACTGTCCTCCTTGCATCCAATGCTTCTTAGCCTACTTCTCTCCACCAGCTAATAGAAATTGAGCCTGTCTTTCTGAATAGCCTGCCCACAGGTTTCTCAGCAAGAGCTGCCCAAGATTTCCACACAGAACAAGCACTCATTTTCAGAGCTACGTTTTGCAACTCAAGGGCCTTCTGGCAAGAACTTCTTCTTTGTCAGATGGAACAGAGTTCTCCTGATCCTACAGAGAAGGCGTTCCAGACATTCCAACTGTGCACACCATCATTCTGGGAAATTGTGCCAAATTAGTCCTGCATCTGTGAATAACCAAGCCTTAAGGGGTGAATTCCAACACCTGCTCTTGGCACCCATGTTACTACAATCTGCTTTGAAAACTATTTTACATTTTTAACCAATTGATCATAGTTTAGTTCAGAACAGGGCCTGATAGCACACCTGTGGTTGTGAGGCTCTTCAGCATCAGCAAGCAACTGGTGTCTGTGTTGGATACCTCAAATAATTCAAGGAGTGGATTCCCTGGCCTCTATAACCTTGCTTCAGGGACATCTTACAGAGAAGTGCTTCTCCCAGAGGTCCTCCACACTTAATTCCAGGCCAGGCACTGCCCATGCCATCCCATTGCTCATCTTGCCTCAAGGAAGCATCATCTGCTCGTTCAACAAGGCTCCATGGGACACACGGATGGTTTAAACACTCCTCCTAAGTTCTTCATCCTAAGAAGCTGGGCCTACGAAGCTAGATATGTGCATCAGCTCAACAACTGATATTGGATCCCCCACCCCTGCCCCCAGGATGTCTCGCTACTCTTTTACCTAAACTGACAGATTTCCACAAAACTCTTCTATTTTGACAGAATGGCTTTTTATGGAAGCGAGTCCTGCTGAAAATGTTCTGTCCACTTCTAATCACGTCTTGTCACTTTTCAGCCCGAAATGAAAGCCAGAGAAAATAATGCTTAAAATTAAGAAAGTCTGGGGAAAAAAAAAAAAAAAAAAAAAAAAAAAAAAAGACAAAAAAAGAAAGACACTCAAATGCTGCAGAATGCATTAAAAGCTTTGAGTTAAAATACAGGCAAGTGGCCATGCACATTTTTATCTCACCCCATCTCTTCCATTATTTCTGCCAGTCAGGATGAAAAATACTGCTTTTTTTCCCCCCATGAGAAACTACGGTATCTTCTAAACTCTGCCCCACTGAGTGCTCAGCCGTAAGAGTGGCAGAGCCTCTCTGTTGTGGTCAAGAGGGCAGCTCCACAGTCTTCCTAAGAACAGAACTGTTTAAGGAGCTAACATGGCTGCAGGAGTGCAGGCCAGGCTGCAGAGATACCAGCACGGTTGCGAGCTGACCACTGACACAGGGAAACAGACAGAAGAGGTGAAACTGAGACCAGTGTTTTCTGCCCTCTCAAAGACAATGCGGCTTTTGCTGAAGTGGTGGCAGAGCAAGGAGTAAGAGGATGCACTGGGAAAGCTGAGCTACCAGCTGCACACTGCAGCCAGCAATTCTCTGCAGCCTCAGCTAACTCTAACCCACATCTGAGGCATGCGACTCTTTTTCAAGGCTTTAGTGTCATTCGAGCAGGCACCTGTCACTGCTATTCTGCATCATTCAGAAACAAGGAAATTATTTTAAAATGTGACCTTTGGCTTGGCATGGCAGCCCCCAGGCCTAGCAAGAAGCAGCCCGATGCGAGCCCAGAGAAAACACCTTTTTCTTTTTTTTCCTTCAGCAAAGTTGCCCCTGCAAAACGTGATGACCTGCTCTCCTTAGTCTGCTCCTCTTGCTGCTGGTATTAGGGATGTACAGTTAAGTGGAAGCGAGCACACCACTGCACATTCAACTACTTCGTGGCACCCCCAAAGAAGCAAGTGATTGTTATCCTCCCTGCTTTATAAGTGGGAACAATGAGAGAATGCTCTGACATGCCCCAAATCACAGTGGGAGCCTGAAGCAAATGCAGATTTTGAAGCCACGTCCTCAGGGTTCCACTTCAGTGACTGCACTGCAAGGCACACGTGCCTGCTCTCGGCTCTAACATTTCCTAGAATATGGTTTGGAGAATGCATGCTGATTCACACTGCTTTTTCTTGTCTCAGTGAGACTGAAAAAAAACAAGATCATCCTCATTAAATTCTCAATAGTTTAATGGGCAATCTAACATTGAGAGAACACAGACTATGAAGTTATAAATACCATTGCAATTCAGTGCATTTTGAAAGAAATTAGGCTGAAAGATGAGAGGAAATTATAGTTCTCTTTGTCTTCCTCTGATCTCTGCAGATGGGCAGCAGCATGATCTCAGCTCAGGCTAGCAGAAATAGGTGGTCCAGCCTATACTGGGGTTTCTGCCCCAATCCCTGCTGCTGCCCACGGCCTTCAGCAAAGCGAGGTGGATTACCAAGGTTGAATGGCACCTCTCAGCAAAGGCAGCAGGGTAAATCCAACTAAGGGATTTAGTAAACTGAGGGAATCACCTTGGATCTGCTGCCACAGAATCACCAATTGTAGGGGTCGGAAGGGATCTCTAGAGATCATCAAGTCCAAACCCCCTGCTAAAGCAGGTATGCACTGTCTCAAGGGACAGTGACAAGGAAGGTCCCAGCTCTGATCAACCCTCTCATGCTCTACCTCAAAGACTGCCTATCCAAATGGCCAGCAAAAAATGTAGGAGGAAAGTACTTCCCTCTTCTTCTGTGCAGACAACTGAGATACAAAGAGATGAAATGACCGCCCCACCTCCTGCAGGAAACCCATAGCTCCACAGAGCCTGACTCTCCAGCCTTCTTACCTGTGCTGTTGCTGCTGTGCCTTTGCTGGTGATACAAGGATTTAAGCTCAGGATGGGTAGCTCTTGGTCTTCAGACTTGTGTGACTCCAAGCAGCTCTGCCTTTGCCTGATCATCCCAGTCTGATATAGCAGTTCCTCGGGAATCCTGTGGGAACAGTGTGAAAAACGGCCCTACTCCTTCTGGCAAGTAGTGTGCTCCAAGGGAATGGGATGAAGAAGTTGTTGCCATACCATTCACCTTCAGATAAGGACTTGTGAGATCTGTTTCAGCAAGAAACTACCACAAGTAGTACATGGCCAGGGACACTGCAGAAGCAGCATTCAGGGATGGATGATCAGCCTTTGACAGGGGAATAATAAATAACTGTGCAAGGCAAACAGAGGAGCAAGGAATGGACTGTAAGCAGGCTAACGGTCAGCTTTCAGCCTACAGGAGTGGGAAACTGTATAAAAAATGACTGCACAGCGCTGGCATTCCTTTTCAGTGCTGCCACGCAGTGCCACACTTAGCAAAAAAAAGCCAGAAAACAGCAGTTAAATCATTCTCACACTGTAAGTGTGTACTCAGTCACTGCACCAGCAGGTCCCTAGAGGCAGCTCCAGAAATTGTGCACCCTTTCTGTGTCACTCCTGGCAGTGACTGCAAGAACGGGTGCAATCGTTTCTGGACTATTTTGCAGCTGAGGAAGTGTATATTAATGAAAGCATCAGGCTAAGAGTAAGCCAGAATCACCCAAATACATGTTATCAACTCCTGGCATTGAGAGTCTGATAACAGCGAGGTCCTGCACCACTGAAATCCATAGCTAAGACTGCTTATGGAAAGCAGGATCACAAACAAAATACATTACATCAATGAACAGGTGGTGTTGAAAATGAAGACAAAATTCAGCATGCCCTCCTGCAAAGCCCAAGGGAGGAGGTGGGGTGCCTGTGTCTGGGCAAGAGGGAGGTGTGGGAGTGGAAGGAAGGAGAACTTTCTGGGGTGGCAGGAATGGGGCTTCCTGGTGGAGATCAGGCATTCATACCGAAGTTCAGGGTAAACGTTCTCCAGGTACCACTTGAAGCTGTGGCATTTCAGCCTCTTCCGCAGCTCCACTCTGCTCTGAATGCTGTGAAGGTACAGTGAAGATTATGAGGGTGAAACCCAAGGCCCCCCAGAATCCAACAGATATGCACAAGCAGCAAACACAAGAGCATCAGCAGCACTATTTCCTGCTGTCCTCTGCATGAGCTTCGTCGGTCGCTTTGATATCTGTCTCTTTGGAGATCTCACGTGGTAAAGTGCCACGATGACATACTGCCATTTTAACAAGGAGCCTGGAGTTTAGGCAATGAAAAAGTCTATAGAAAAGCACAGCTATTTAAAAAATGATTAGAAACCAATGTATATTATCTATTATATGCAATGAAAGCATTAATTTAATATAGCAATGTGCTAGGAAGTTAATATATGCTATTATAAATTACTCTTAGTTTATAGAACTACAGAAGGCCTTGATTCACAGAAGCACTTAAATACAGCTTTCAGTCACTAGAAGTTAATCACATGGTGATATAACTCTTATGTTAATCAAGGTTAAACTTCTGCTGCTGAAGTATCATACTGCAGAGTAGTGTTTCCCAAACATCAGCTCTTCTTTGGGCCAGCTGAAGCTGGTATGGAGCTGGTATGACTTCCAGTCCTTCCTTTAGTATAGTTTGTCTTTCCTGCACCTTCATATGAGAGCTGTTACTTCATCCCATGCTGAAGGATGGGAAGAGGATACAAATTCAGAGGAAATAGGTTAATCTCTGGGATTGCAATTTATTTAGCATGGAAATGGAAGAGTAGCCAGAATTAATTTTAGTTTGGATTTGGACTCTACTGTGATCCCAAGGAAATCTTCTAAAGAAAGAAAGAGTATAAGAAAATGAGAAACAAACACAAATACATACACATTTCCTGATATGGAGATGTTTCTGACAGTTCAAAGGATGAATGGCAAACTCCCTGAACATAAAGCACTCACTCCTTTCCAATAACACCTTGCCAGGTCCAAAATCTGATTATTTTCTTGCCTCTCAACTGCTAGCAAGACCTCTGGACTTTCTCCCAAACTCTGCTGTGGGATCTTAAGTACTTGTACCCACAGCAAGGGCAGGACATGGGCAGAGGAAGTTTCCCTTATCATGACTTGGTTCTCTCATCGAGATACACTAGCACCACATACGACCCGTTTATAACTTTCATTCACTCTGCTCATTAGCTTCTGCCTACCATTAGTATTTAATTCAGCGTTACTGCAGAAACAACGCGGCAGGTTTCCTGCAGCAGGGTGATGGCAGCAGGGAGGACACTTACTTTCCATATGGCCTCCCCTGGGCCGCGGGCCGGGCAGCATAGTAGTACTGCTTGAACTCATCCATCCACACCTCTGCAGTGCGCTTGGTGTTTCTGAAGGAGGCAATGAAAGACAGCTGATGCCAAGGAAGCCTCTGAGGTGATGCCCACACTTTCTAAAAGGCATCAGCTCTTCCAAGATGCTCTCCTCCCAACCTCAATTTTGTCTATGGCTTTACACAAACCACCTGTGTCCTGCCCTCACTACCAGAGATGTTCCCCATCCTACCCATTTCTCCAGGCACCAACCCTAAGTTGCCACATCTTGGGTGAGGAATTCACCATCTCAAGCTTTGCTGGATGTCTTGCATCCATCCCACCCAGAAGTGTGCTTTCTCTTAAGCACCATCTCCCAGGCAGGCAGGCTCGAGGTTGTATTTTGTGAATGGGATTGAGCTCTGAAAACCAGCACGAGACATGCCAAAGATTGAAAGCAAATATTTCATTTGTGTCATTCCTGTAAGAACTCTCCTGCTTTTTTAGTTAACATCTCTGTTTAATCAAAAATACCACGGAGCATCACGGAGTTGCCAGAAGCTGCTTCTCCACTCAGTCCACATATTTCTGCATTAAGTTTGAGTCTGAGATACCAGAAGGTTAACCACAACTCAGCTTTGAAATGCTATGGATACATTTCTGCAGACTGCTTTTCAACCCCTTGCTGATCCATGGTGCTTCCCATTTTCCTGCAGTAGCTTAAGTGCTCTTGTCCAAAAGATGGTTGTCAAGTGCCTACATTTGGATCTCGCATTCTGCATAACTCAGGATATTTTTGCCTGCCTTCCTGATCTCAGAACGTTTTACAGGAAATGTGGGAACAAACACCAAGACTTGCACCTTGGTGTTGATTCAGGCCCACCCAAAGCTCACATCCAGCCTTATCTGCAAGAGTCTTCTTTCACAACTAATACCAAGGTGACCCAGATTTGTGCCCTTGTCCTACCCTGTGCCTCTCAGTCTGTGCCTCTCTGTCTTTCTGAAGGGAGGTGACAGGGTTACCTCAGCACTCTCAACTGTCCCCATCCTGCCCCAAACACTGCTGGAAATGTTGTATTAGGTGTAACTGGGGGGCGCTGATTTCACTCCTCCCACATTGCTGTCATAAGCAACGCATGGGTGAGCTGCAGAGGGACTGGGTCAGTGGCAACCCTGCTGCAACACCCTAAGTCCTCATAAATCCTGTTGGCTCAGTGAACTACCAGGAAACTGACTCTAAAAGGAACACCTGGTGTCTAAGTTCATACAAAAGCAGTTTGTCTGGGAAACAACTCTGCATTATGTCTGAGTGCCCCTGGTGTTTTACTCTGTCCTTTACTCAAGGAACAGCCTTCATCCTTGAGCTCCAAAAGAGGAGGAAATCCTTCCCATCTTAAGCAACTGCTGCCTTCACCTGCTCCCTCCTGGATTTTAGTCCACCTCAGCCATTATTTCAGCACTGGATTCAGTCCCTGTTCCTGGGTGTGAGACCAGGTCTCCTTCAGTGCAGCCCATCATGTTCCTACTCAGTCTGTCTGCTCCTTGCTGAGGCACCGGGAGCCATATTTTCTGGTTCAGCTAAGTCACGCTCAGCCTCAGGCTAAGGTCACTGGGTACTGACAGATATGGTTGACAGCCTGCTTTCAGGGCATTATAAATGTTTTCTTATGACCTTAGTGTCTAAAACATTTGCTGTTGCGGTAGCTAGGGCTGAGAGAGCTGCAGAGCCTGTCCCTTCATTTCTGTGGTGATGAAAGGAACCGCGTCGGTGTCCTACTTCTGTCATATTCTCAACACTCTAGAAATCCTAAGGGAGACAGTTGTACCAGCTCACTATGGCTCATGAGATTCCTGCCCATGGGTATTTTGCATTTTTTCAATCTAGCTTTCCTCCCCACCTCCCTGCAAGGCAGCAGCTTATTATTCCCCACAAAAATGAAGCAAACCCCAAACACCCACTTGATGTATGTATTGGCGTTCCCCTCTGGAAAGACATATGGATGTTTCTTCCGGAAGACATGTCCAACACGGCTGCAGGGGATGATTTCCAGGCTACCTCCACACATCCACACACGGAAGGAGATTTCTACAAGAGAGGCAGCTTCAGCATTTTGTGTTTCTGTCATAGAATTGTCAAAACTGGAAAAGACCACTAAGATCATCATGTCCAACAGCTGACCCACTCCCACCATGCCCATGACCACATCCCTCAGTGCCACATCTCCACAGTTCTTGAACACCTCCACGGATGGTGACTCCACCGCCTTCCTGGGCAGCCTCTGCCAATGATTTACCGCTCTTTTTGAGAAGAAATCTTTCCTAACATCGAACCTGAACCTCCCCTGGCACAACTTGAGGTCATACCCTCTTGCCTTAAAGCAGTCTGAATATGGTGTTACCTCTCATTTCATCCTCTGCCATATTAAACTGGGGTAAATCAACTACCATAGGGGCTTTCATAGGCTCAACTCTTGTAAAAGTGTACTTAAAAGCTTCTTGCAATCTGTTTGAAGTTCACACACTCAAAATCTGTTTGCAGCACAGAGCTATCACAGTAAGGAGTCCCTTTACATATAGCCCTGTTCACACTGGAGAACCATCCTGCAGTTTTGCACTCCCACAATGACCTCTGCACTGCCCACATTAGTGCAACTTCCCTTCATGGGACTGCTAATATTACTGGAGAGGCCATGAATTCTGTGCATTAATGATGACAGCAGTGGGTCATTATCTTTATGACTCTAAGGCTGGTTGTACAAAGTGAACAGCTATGAGCATCCATCATCTGCCCCCAAAAGAGCAGGAGCTTACCTTGCCTAGCACATATGCTAATGTTGCGGATCAACAAGATGCACACATTTGCAAGAGCTGAGGTCAGTGACAAGAAGGATTATTCCAAAAATCTGGAAAAATTATCAGTATGGGTAAGATCTTCTGGTGTCCCCAAGCTGCTCCCTGGCTGTTCAGTGGGGCCCGGTTAGAGGACAGCTTGCTTGTGGCGTGATTCATGATCAACACCAAAAGTTACAGGGCTCCTGGCAGGGAGCTGGATGAGATCCCAGTTGCAAGGTGGCACAGCCAGCAGAACGGCTGCTCTAAATGGTCTGTCTGGTCCCAGGAGCTGGGAAGCTATGAATCTGCAGCTGTATCATCAGACAGTCATACTTAGAACCAGCACAAAGAAATGAAATAAAGGCTTCTGCAGCTCTGTATGTCCTGTTTTGTGATCTGTTGGTAGTAGAGAGCTAAACAGAAAAAGTGCCTGCTCCAAAGCCACGAACTCCTTTTCACCACATGATGCCACATAGGATGAGCGATAAGCATGCATAAGGAGCTGCTGGGATTGAGATTCCTGGAGAGAACTGCTGTTCCTGGAGCTGGCTGCTGTTGGAGACCAGCAACAAGCAGAGTTGTGTAGCGGGTCAGAGGCAGCACATCTTTACATCTACAGTTCCCTTCTTGGATACTATTTTTGGGCTATCGAACCAACGAGGAAGGCAGGAGGGCTGCAGTCAGTCCCTGCTTGGTTTCCTTGGAGGAGCAGATGCTTTGGGTCAAACCAGTGGCAACACACCCACTCACAGAGAGAAGGGATGAGGAAGAGCAAAACGACTGAGCAATGAGATATAAATAAATAAAATATGCTGGAGGAAAAAGGTGTGTGAAGCAAACAACAGTGCCAGGCAGAGGGTGGGATACTGCAAAGCAGCAGCATCTGTTCCCTTGGATGGCTGACAGCACTGCTATATGTGTTAAGAAAGAAGATTTTGCCTTCCTTGCTAGCTGTACTCCCCAGAGGTGTGAGCTATTAAAGCCAGATTTGGATCTGCCTCTCTGACATCAAGTGTCTCCTCCTCTTCTCAGAGGCAGTCTATTGCTCTGATCTGCAGCATTGCTGCAGCTGCAAAGTGAGAACAGTCTGGCCTGATGAAGCTCTTAGCAATCCAGGATAAGGAGACATGATACCTGACACCAATCTGCATTGTGCCCTTAAAGTTACTGGTGCAGGCACTCTGCAAATTTAGGGAGGCACTGATGCCTCAATTCATGGCTTTGAAGTGCTATCTATCATCAGACATCAGAATAAGACACATCTTAGCTTTATTCTTGAGAAAATAGGATCAGGAAGAAACAGGGGAGTATGAGTGGTGTGCTCTCATTTGCTGGTAACACTAAAGCTGAGAACTCTGTTGTTCAGGATATTTCCCTATAGAAAATCAAAGGATCATGGAAGGCAGAGAGTCCTATGCCCCAAGCAACTCCTCATTTCCCACCATTCATGGTTGTAGATCTCTTATCCATCTGAGACTGCAAGCTACGAATGTAAGTGAGGGAAACCATGCAGAGCACTCAAAGCAAAGCCCTAACTAATGTCATGTCTACCTGGCATGACTCTGGAAATAGAACCAATCTTGCAAGGGTGGGAGGAAGAAGGATGACTCACCAAAGTTCTCCCCGCCCCAGATGTCCATGGCGTTGTCATACTTCCCCAGGTGGTTGAACCAGGCTTTATCAATCACAAACAGCCCCCCAGCAATGATGGGAGTCCTGCAGGGTCAGGGAAGCAAGAGAAGTGCCTGGATGTGCAGAAGAAGCTCTTCCTTTAGCCTCTTCTTCCATCATCAGCTAACTGTGTACTTCCTTCTTACCAAATGAGAACAGTAAACCTCAAAAAGCATCAAAGCCTTTCTTTCAGCTGCCTCAGTATTTTGCTGTCAATCATAAATTGCCTGGCATTTAATGACTGGCTAATGCATCCATCAGCACAACTCCTACAAGCCTGAAGTTCACAGCCCTGATTGCAGGCTTCAGCATCAGAAATGCACTTAACGCTTGGTGGGTTATTCACATGATGGTACTCTCACAGGATTTTTTTTGCCTGCAGCCAGCCCATTAAGAGCACAATTCCAGAGGGGAGGGCAGGACAGAGCCAGCTCAGACGGGCTTTTTAAAAGCCGCTGCTAGCTGTTTGGTCTGTGTTTCAAAACAGGTCTATTTTTTACTCTTTGGATGAGCTAAGAAAAGCTGTGCTGAGATGGCACAGGGGAGGAGGGGAGGGCAGACCCAGAAGAGACTTGATCTTTGCTGGGACAAGTCTCATCCTCACGTGCTCATCTCATGGGACACAGGCACTCAGGATGCCTCAGTGCAGGCTGCTGCACCGAGGAAGTCTCTGTAGTACCCTGCATGAGTGCAAGCAGAGCTTTGCACTCCTACGAGCTTCCTGGAGCCCTGAGCACCCCAGCTCCAGATCTCCCCTCTACCGTACACCATAACACTTCACAGCTGGGGATATAGGCAAAAGGGCTCCTTTTGGGATGAGATGCCTGTCCTGACCCACATTCCACTTTCCCCTCTTGACTTACTTAATGGGTTTGGTAGGATCAAGTCGTTTGGCTTTCTGCTCTGGGGAAAGCTGCTCCCATTTGAAATGCAGGCTCCAGTCAAAACCTAAAACCAGTGCAGAGAAATACCTTAGGGAAATTAGAAACGGGCATGGACTAGGAAGCAATTCAATCCATTAGGCTACAGAATCCATGTTGGATGAAATTTTTTTCACTTTTAAATGTCTCAAGCCAATGGAGATAGAGCTCTTGGGAAAGGAGTCCAATGACTAATGTATTTTATACTACATATGAAAGAGAAACAACACTTTGCATTACAATTGCAAAGTCAAGCACATGAAAAGCAGGAAAAGTCAGAATTAAATCTGCTGTTGAAACCTTGCTCTTAGAAGGCATCCTTGTCCCCCAATGCACACAGATGCACACTGTCATGGATACTGCATGTTACAAATAGCACAAGCATACTAATAAGTGCTACAGTCGCATCCTCTGTTTTTTGCCTAGAAATCCCCCATTTCTTCAGCATCTGGGCTTACAGTGCTGCAAAGGGTGGTTTTGAAATGACCCTTTATCCTGCCTGATTACTTTTTCCACTATAGCAAACAATAATCCTCACACCATCTCTAAGCCAGCCTGAAAATGGCACAGGGAGCACTGAAGAGTGCAGATACACCTTGAGCAGGATAGCTGAAACCCACAGCACAGCTCAGAGCCACGCTTATACTATGGGACAAGGCCCGTGGTGCTCACTCACCGCCTCTGAGATCTGAGGAAGCTGCCACATAGGCAAAAGTATCCAAGTTGATGATGTCAATAACAGGGCTGACCACCCGTGTGGGGTCCTGGAAAGCAGAAACAAAAGGACCTGTGACTTCAGATCACACCATTCAGCAAGTGGCCAATGGGTGGCCCAGTCTCTCGCCAAGCAGATGGAAACTTCAGTGGTAATTTTGGTGGTTTGGTGGCTTGTTATGGACATGTGCCCATCACTGCCTCCTCCACTGTCACAGCAATTCAAGCCACGACTGAATGGTAGCAGAGGAGCTTCAGGACATGTCACCAAGAGAGGGTGAGCAGGTGGGCAGCTGGGCAGAGCAAAGCCTCTGCAGGATGCAAACCTCTATCTGCCTTTTGCACATTCACTGGTGTATTTCCCTCTCACCTCCCTCAAGTACACTTCACTGAATTTCAAAAGTCAGGTAACAAATGGGCATTTGAAATGAGGAAAAAAACCCACAACTGGCCAAGCAGCATAACCACACTGTGTGTAATCAGAGGAAATTGTTGAATGCACAAATTAAGGGGATGTAGTTGTAGTTTTGCCAGAGGTGCGAAAGGGTTAAAACAACAACAACAACAACACAGAAACAACTGCAAGCTATTTTAAATAGTTGGTGGTGATTTAGTTAGCATCTTCTTATGGGCAAAGAACTTATAGAAACAGTTACAAACAAAAACAGCTACAGGAGGAAGACTGACAGCTTTGGCTGCTCTCTTATCTCCCTTTTCCTTTTCAAAAATCCCGAACTCCAATTATACCTCAAACTTCAAGCTCTCACCCTCACCAGATCAAAACATTTTTCACAGCTATGCAGAGGAAAGCATCTGAGCACGCATACCCTTGCTCTCACTCTCTGAAAAAGCTTTGTTTTAGAAAATGCTCCTAACAGAAAGCACTCAAGTGCAGCTAGAAGAAGCTAGAAGAAGGAACTGAATGCCACAAGCTGTGCTGGGGACTTAGAATCATAGACTGAATGACAGAATGGCTTGGGTTGGAAGGGACATTAAAGCCCATCCAGCCCCAATGCCCTGCCATGGGCAGGGCTGCCCCCACCAGCTCAGGCTGCCCAGGACCCATCCAACCTGGCCAACCTGTACAAGGCAAACAACCCACCAAAGCAGTGAAGTTTGCTGCACCCACACGTTGTGTGAAGAAGCTCCAGCCCAGAGACAAGCCACTCGCACACAAGAGCAATGAAACCATCAGAGCTTTTCTAGTTGTCCTTGTCCACCCATGTGGACACCAACACAGGCCATGGTGTGGAGGAACAAAGAGTGGTCCCCACCCCAGCAAGGACACTGCCCATCTTGCTGGTTCTTGGCCAGCACACTGCTCAGCCAAAACCCCTTCATTGCAGGCATACTGTGACACTGCTCAGCACACCCTTTGTGTTGGTTGAAGGCAGGGTAAGGCTTTAAACAAAGACAATGGAAGCAGAATAGCAATTACTGTATGCACAGCACTGGGAATGGATTGTATCTGGTCATTTAAAAACTGCACCTCAAGCAACTTACTAGTGAGCACTTCTAATGAGCCCACATTCACTCCCAGTTTCAGTTCCACTCCTGCTCATTACATGACACAGCTTCTTACAGGAAAATCCCCTTTACCTTCTGACTGCCTAAAATACTGCAAAGGTTTGACTTTCAGCCCTCTCCATGACTCACTTTCCCTGCCATATAACGAGGACATTTGTATTTGCTCACATTCCATGAAGGTGTCTCTGATCCTCAAACAAAAAGCACTGTGTGCTCAGGAGCACAGTGCTGCTGCTGTTATTTACGTGGGGCTGAACACCAGATCTTAATATAGGTAGCTCCAACCTTCTGGTTTTCACTTGCTCTACAGTTTAGGATTGCTGCCATACCAGGACGTGCTAATATCCACAACATTCAAATCTTCAATTCTCTTTCATGTGAAACTCTCAAAAATGTAAAAATGCATTTCTTCAGTGTATATTTCAAACAAAAAACATTATGAAACTAAACAAACAGCACAAAACTCTAAAAACTTCCTTAAAATAAAGTAACGTGTTTTAACAGTAGAGGACAATGACTACAGCTTGTCTTGCAGCTCTGTGGCAGCCACCCATTCCTTCCAATGGTCAACAAAAAGAGCGAGGAGAGAGGGTAAGGTAGGTAAGATTGCCCCTCATCTGCCTCCTCTACCCTAGGAGAGCACCAAATTGTAGGAGCTGGAAGTAGGAGGTCACCATTCACTGCTTCATCCCACCAGTGTTAACGAATCTGGTTTTGAGGTATGCTCATTGATTCATACCATAAAAATACTGTAGGCTCAATAATTATAGCCTTAGCCACGCTATTCAGTTGAAATGTGACGTTAATGGCTTCAGATATATTTGTTCCCTAAGTAAAAACAAAAGAGATGTGCCCACACACTCACAGTCATACACTCACAGACATGTTTTTGCAAAAGAGCCACAGCTGCTGTGGTTTCTTTGGACATGCACCATCCTGGGCACAGACCCGCACACCTCTGAAGCAGGAACATGCCTGCACCTCTGCCCACTATGACCCTTTCACTAGCTCTTGGGCCTTCTCTCTTCTCTTTGCATGAGAAAGAAAAAGCAAAGCAACTCGCAGGGTGACTGGTGATGGGGAGAGCATTGGCTCAAGGTGGTTTCTACTGGTTTACTTGAAACTCCAGAGCCAAGCTGACTCATCCTACCTGTGACATGGTAAGAAAATGCTCCTGTAGGAAGGGTAATCCTCATCGCAGCAGGGACCTGTCTCTTGGGCACAGCCTGAAGGTGGCAGCAGTAACATGTCATACAGCCCATTGATCACTACGTAACCCTGATGGCCAGGACAGGTGCAGCGGGGTTGGGCAGGAGGAAAGCAATGACCTGTTGCCCTCATCCTGCTGCATCTACAAGCAATTAAAAAGCAAACAAGCAGGACTAAACGGAAGCAAAGCACCCTTTCAGAAATACTTTCTATGCTGTCTGTCAGATGCAATGGCACCACTGCTGCTACGGTACATCAAAATCCCTGTAAAGAAGTTGCAATGGTATCTAGATTCATCCACCCCACAAAGCTGCATCGAAAAGCTGGTTTTCAAGTTGGGTTTCACAGCTCATGCTATTGAAATTCCACAGGAGTTGTGACCAATAACACAAAAATGCCATTTTCACTCCATTACTATTTACCAGCAGCACGATGGGACAGCCTTCTAACTGAAGTTGGGACCTGTTCTGTGCTGAGGGTGCCAGCAACACCAACAACCTTTGCCCAACAATAGGCCCTAACCTGCTGCTGTTCAGATTTCTCCAGAAGCCAGTGCCTTGGCTTCCTTCCTTGCTTCATCCTTTTACTCCTCAGCTGCCCCTATATCAACACCATTCACTAACCGTAAAATTACTGAGTAGCTAATACTAGCAATAAGGAGCAAGAGATGGAATAGCAATGGAGGAACAAGGCACAGCAAAGGGACATGACCATCCATCCATGCCACAGCTAGAGGTTTTCTCACACCCTGACATGCCCCAGGCTGCCGGCACAGGGCTCGTGCTGACTCGAGTGACAAGGCACCACTGAGCCTCCTCATGCACATCCAGCTAGCACTGCCGACTCGGTGAAAGGCGAGTGTCATTGTCTGCTCTGAAATCAGCAGAATTTAAATCCTATTAAATCAATTTATTAGTGCTTAATTTGCATGAAATTAAATTCGGCCCCTATTCAAGGAGCCGTCACTCCTTTAAATCATTGGCATTGAGCATTTTTACATAAGCCTAATTAAAAACCCTGCTGGAGCCCAGCGCAGCAATTCCCCTTTCAAGGCGCAATCCATGCTTCTGAAGTCACAGCACTACTGCCCCAGATGACACCCCATCCCACCTGACCACACACACTCCCAAAGACACAAAAAAGACCTGAAAAGTTTACTTGGCACTCCAAAAGCTCCTTGTTTTCTTATTAAATGCCTTCACACAGTTGGACAAAGTTGGGTGGTGATGGCCAGTAGGAGAGAAGAGGGGATGAACATCCCCTAAGGGTGGTTCTGGTCCCTTGGGACACTCACCTCTTTGATCCTCTGCAACAGTGGGAGCAGCCAGTCCTTATTCACCTCACAGTGACTGTCCAGGAAGGTCAGGACTCCTGCTTGAGCCACATCTGCCCCTTGAATGCGGGACCGGATCAGACCTGTTCAGGGACACACCACATCAGCTTCCTCCAAGTTGGCTGGGCAGTATCCTCACATAGCCTTCTGGAGGCTCCTTACACATCCCCAAGGGCTTTGACCCATCTAAATCCCATTCAGATAATATATGGCTCAGGTTCATCACTGCCTTTCCAGCACCACGAGCCGTGCCAGCCATTTCCCAGTGTCACCAAAGCAAATAAAAAGTTACACTTGCATCAATAATTTATAGCATTCATGCCAAACCTTAAATTGTGTAACTGTCTCCACTGTTCCAGGACAAAACAGAACTTGAAATGCTTCAGAATGTCTTCAGAAGACAGAAGGGAACCTAAAGTCTTTCCCTGACTCATCACCAGCGCACACGTGGTGAGACCAATTCCACAGTAGAACCATGGTTTTCAGTGCCCCTAATCCCTATGTTAAACCCTATACACAGCTCTTAGTGAGGAGCTGAGGGTGGGACCTTTTGAGGCCTCTCTTGCACCTCTCTCGGATTACCAATTTGGGAATTGCTAACCTGCAGCTCAATGGGAACATCTTTTCTGCTGAGGAAAGAGGATCTGCTCTCCAGGTGCTAAAAACCTTGGCTCAACAGGACCCTGATGGTGAATGCATGGTCCTTAGGAGCCGGACTGCTAAATGAGTTTGAGAGGAAAGAACGAATAGAAGAGGGAGATCAGAAAGCCCATTATTGCCCATATGAATTTCAGACTGGTCTCTTTGGCAAGATCACTGTTAGTGAAGACACTCTACAGGAAACCCATTTAGTAATATAGAAATCAGTTGGCTTTCCATCGCTTCTCCTGCCCTGCAGCCAGTTCTCAAGTGAGCTGCAATGGAATGGGATGATCTACTGACAAAAATAAGGACATATGGGATGTTCAAGGGGAGAAAGGCCTCTTGATGAAGGAGCAATGTAAGGTGAGACAGCAGCAAACAGAAAGAGATGGGGGTTGCCAGGGGGGCACACTTTTGGGCTCTATGGAAGGTCACTGACTTTCATATTAAAATTCCATGTAGGAAAAGGACCAAGGAACAGTCTTTGAGTAGGAGGAAGAGGGGCAGAGATAACAAAACCTGGAACAATCCCATGTCTGCCCAGGTCAGCTCCTGCAATACACTTTGTCCCCACAGTGCTCTCTGCTGTGTGGATTCTGAGATCTTGTAGGTAGACACTGCATCCACCCAGTGCCTTCATAAGTACTGGTGGGGTCCTGAAGGAGACAGCTTCAATGATGAGCAGGTTCAAGAAAGCCCTTCAGGCTGTGTTCACAAATCCTTACTAGGTTGTGAAGTGCTAATACCTCCAGCTCCATCCAGTGCTGAGGAAGACCATGAAAGCATATGAGCATGTACCCAAATCACAGAGGAGAGGAAGATGGGAAGGAGAAGCAGACTCAAAAGGTTGCAAGAAGTAGCCCAGTAAGGCATACATCCATCCTCCACACAGCCCTTTTTAATCTTTAAAATATAATTAATTACTTTTTTTTTACTTCTTTTTTTTAATTCCTGCAGAAGCAGCAGGAGCAGTTCTCATCTCTTTCATTAGTGCAAACATCTTTAAAAAGAAGACTGGAGGCTTTGTTTTGCCTGTTCTAATTTTCTGGATAATAAGCTACAGCTGAGCCATCTCAGATATCTTAATAGACCCTTTTTTTTTTTTTTTTTTTTTTTTCAGGGACGGGGGTAAAATCCATACCAATTTCCAGCCCTCTCTCATGTCTCCTATTATCAGTGCTTTGCCCTGTGTGCTCCATCCACTGGAATAGCTGCCTTCTCTTCCCACCCGCTCCATCACTTTCTCATCTCCCAAAGCCTGGGTTCCTCACCCAGGCCAGGATGACCAGGGTGAGTCGGGGTTCAGGATGTTGGCCCTTACCTTCACGCTGTCTGTTCCGCAGGCATTTCACCTTGGGTAGCTTGGCCAACAAGCGGCAGTCATCAGCTTTGGAAACACAGAGGGAAGCAACATCACCCATCAGCACTCGGGTGGTCACAAAAATGGCCCCCACACCCTGAGCAGCAGCTCCAGCAACAGCCCCAAGACCACCCAGACCTGAGATCCTGTGATCCCATTTGCAGCTGCCTGCATTGCTCCTTGGCTGACTTTCCATCAGCATGGGAGAGGAAGACTGAGCAGTACTTGGGCTGAGTACATGGGCAGGAACACCCAGCTCAGCACTCTGAACTCACACCCCATGCATGCACCTCCAAACACATTTTTCCTACTCCAACAGTCTTTTATTTGCAGATACATCCACCACAACTTACACACGGAGCTGAGGTTATCTGCATGCAGCAAAATAATAAAGGCAGCAGAAGTTTGGTACATATATACAATGGAAACTTGATGGGGATAGTGGGAACTCACATGCATGTGCCATCTGCAGGTTGAACAACTGTGTTCCAATGAATAAAAGGAAGAGTTGGACTCCATGACCTTTGTGGGTCCCCTCCAACTCAGAATATTCTGAGGCTGACAGTGGTGAGAAATAAGTCACCACTGGGCATGAGATAAAAGCACCTGTTGCTTGGAGAGGATTGCAGGGAAAAGTGACCATGTGTTTATATCATATTATGCAAATGCATACGTTTTATGTAAATGTATGCAAAACATATACTAGGAGGCTCAGACTATCACAGGAAAGAAGGGGCCAGATGCAAGACAGCTGAGAAGAGCTGATTTCATGCAGCAAAAAGTTCCCAGACTTGCCCAGCTCAGCCTCCAATCTGCTGGAGTGGCTCTCAAACTCACCACAGCCCTGCTGGCCACTGTTTTGCTGATTCCCAGGCAAGGCATCAGTGCCAGAGATAGACGGCCAGTAAGTAGTCTGTTGTGAAATCTATTCCTAACATCCTACAAGGTGGTACCAATTTAGCCACAGTTCACTCAATCAACATGTAATGCCTTATCCTTTTCATGCCTAAGACTTTTTTTCTTTGAGCGCTTACTTTGCAGCTGGGTCTTCCATTTCTCATTGCACCATCAAGTTCTTTAGCTGAAGACAACCAGGGTCATTCCCTGAGAGCTCACGGCTTCAGCTATGGACTTCTGCTGGAGACCAGACCCTATTAACCAGCAGGAAGCAGCAAGAGGATGTGGGCTGTGTCATATACAGCACTATAGGTGAGGCATTTCAGAAATTGGCAGCTCATGAAGAAAATCCTATTCCACTGTTTACGGCAGTGAAAATCAATCAGGAGCTTCTGGCCATCTACAAAAATATGTGCAGAGTATATGCTGGGGGGCCAAATAGTCGTGGGAAAGATGGAGGGAGCAGATGCATGCCCAAGTGCCAGTGATATGAGCCCAAAATTGCTCCTGGCTGCAGCTGAAAGCCAGATCAATCATACCTTCAGCACAATACAGCTAGGTATGGATCAGATTCACAACTACTAGGCATAAAAATGATTTGTCATGTGCTTTTCCTGTATTATTATCCTTAGAACAAATTTGATCATGCAGAATTTGAATTTTCCACATAGCTATGCAGACGTGGGGCAACAGGATTTCCTACCCACACCTACAGAGCTTTAAATTTCCTTTCTTCCCAACAAACTCTCTCAGCAAAAATCTGGACCTCACACCACCCCTTTCAGCTGGGCAGCCCACTTCTAACAGGGAGTCACTTACGATCGTCACTGAAGTCGTCCACCAGTATGATTTCATGGATGAGGTGCACTGGGGTGCGGTTCATCACACTAAAAGACAGAGAGAGAAAATCTTTGGCAGCGTTTGACCAACTCATCAGCCCAGAAGATGGGAAAGAAAAGCTTGGGAACCAGTCTTTGCAAAAGAATGGCCAGGCTTGTGTTTCTAGAAAGAGTATATAAGAGAAGACCCAGAAACTGGTCTCTGCTTCAGTAACCTGCGTTGCCAAGCTATCAGCTGCCCGCAGCTTAATTCAACAGCTAAGCATCTGATATTCTTGGGAAATAGATGGGATTCACCCTTATTACCATGGTGAGCAAAAGAGAGCAGCCCAGAACACCTGGAGGAAGAGGCTTCATCTACATGCATGTTGCACCAAATTCCCTTTCTGTCATTTTCACATCTCTAATTGGGTAAATGACATGGTGTCCAATGCCAGCCAGGCCAACACAGAGAAAATAACCCAGCTAAAAACATCATGACACAGCTCACAGCCATGGCAGGGCAGTCGTTTTTATCATTGACCTAGTGGTGCTTCAAGGGTTGCAGAAAGGATAAGAACAGAGTTGTAGCCCTCCAGCTCCATGAAAGAAAAGCTGGAAGATGCGGTCTACAGGTCCCTCCACCTGTACAGTCACTGCAAGGTGTGTCTGAAAGCTACAACCTCTCTTAATTATATCAAGGTGGTTTTTTTTGTATTATCATTAAAATTACTGGACCTGATCTTCCCCTGTCAAGCACAGCACAGAAGTCAGCAGAACTATACATATGTAAAATCCTACTGCTATCAAGGGTTAAGGCTGAGCTCTTGAAGCACTGCCCTCTGGGCTTCCCAAAATCTCTTAAATGCTGTGTCTGGACACTGGTAACACCAGCCACTGCCACATGAAAACTCTTATCAACAGATTTCCCCAGCTTTTCAGGCTCCCAAACCCCCAGCAAAAAGCTGGGAAATCTGGAAAACTGTGTTCCTATTCCAGACCTCTGGGGAGTGCTGCAGAAGGCAGGAAACACAGGGACCTTGGTGGTCTCACAGCACTGGACACCTGAGAACGTTCATCAAAAGGACTGCATGGTGCCATATGGTATGGGACATCCCCATGGCTGTCTGGGGCAGCTGTCCTATTTCTGTCCCCTCCCATCTCTTTGAGCCCCCAGCTCTTCTCTGACAGAGCAGTAGGAGAAGTTGGGAAGTCCTTGTGCAAGCATGCAAGCACAGCTCAGCAACAGCTGCAACATCTGTGTGTATCAAAATTGTTTTTCTCCTAAGCCTCAAACACAGCATCACACCAGCCACTATGAAGAAAATTAACCCTATCTCAGCCAAAACCAGGACAACCTCCAAGCCCAGAACTACTTTCCCTGCAGTGACTATGGAAACATATTCTCAGCCTCATCCAGTTTCAGGACCTGGACAAAAGCCATAGTTTTCAAAGAATCATAGAATCATTAAGGTTGGAAAAGACCTCTAAGATCATCTAGTCCAACCATCAACGCATCGCCACCAGGTCCGCTAATTCCCACGCTTCAGACATTTCTCTCATTAAGGTTGGAGGGGGGGAAAGAAAGCTAGGGCACACAGAGCCAGTTAGACGTGCTGTTCCCACCTGTCAAGTATGTTTTAATTATTATTATTAATAGGTTTGTTATTTAAAAAAATATATATATATATCCCCATATGTGACAGCTGAATTCAGCAAATTACCACAGCTGAGAGTCAGCAAGGGAGAGACAGGAGAGCAATATCACGCTCAGTGGAATATTTAACAAGCGCTGATTGCCTGGAAAGCTAACTTGGTGAAACCTGCAGGAAAAAAAATAGCAGCCTTGTAAAAAAGCCAGCAAACAGCCTGCTGAGAGTGGAAGTGGGGAGGAGTGAGTAGTGTGAATATCCAAAGCCTGCATCCACCCAGCCTCCTATGCAGCTTTGGCTACCAGAAGTGCAATGCGGGGCTGAACTCTACAGGCAGGTGATGTCTGCAAGGATAAGTCAGTGAAAACCACTACACTGGGCTGTATTTGCAGATCTGAGCACTTAGCAGTGTTTGGTGCATTGGGAAAATTACCCCAGGGCACCCATTTATGAAAGAAGAACCAGAAGGGACAGCTTTCAAGGAGTGCCTGCAGTGCCAGCAGCCTGGGACAAACCCTGTTCTTCAGGTTGCCACCCCATACATTGGAGAGGGTGCCTCTAATGCTGTGCACAACACCTTCAGCAGTGGTGGTCACCGCTTTATCCTGTCTGGGCATCTTCTGCTCACCTTGGGGCTCCCTGCCCAAAAGTAAGTTCTCACGTGCTTCAGGTTTCACAGCTGAAGGCTTTGCTGTTGACCACCGCCTGCTTTTATTTTTCATGCAGTCTCCATAAAGGGTGCCACAGGTGTGGTGGGATCTCTTCCAGTTAACTGCAACCACAGGCATCTAAAATTTGGGACTCCAACAAGTTTACCTCTTAGTTATGGAGCACATCTTCCAAGCATGGATCACCCCAACTTAAGTTAGTCAAGTGGAAGCCTCTGTTTTCTCTGTGTGATTAACCCCGTTCAGTTGATTTGGAGGAGTGACACCATCCTAAAGCCCAACTAAGAAAGTTCTGAAGAGTGTGTTCCAGAGATTTATCACAGCTTTAAGGGACCTGATGTTCACTGACTTTTGTGGGCTTTGGACTCATTACCACCCTTGCCAATATGTCCAAAGCCACCTGCAAGCCCCAAATGGCTTTCCAGCAAAGCCAAATTCACATCTCCATTACATTTTCTACCTTCTTCAGGAAGAACTGGAAAACAGAGACACTGAATCCTTCACGTTTTTGACATTAGGGGAATTTTTTAAGGACAGTCTACAAATTTTTGTAAAATTTTTAAAAATCTAATACCAGCTTTTCTACTTCATGGAGCTTTGCTTAGCTTTGATTTTGTTGTTGTTATTCTATATTTTTATCTTCCATTGTGTGTGTGTGTGTGTACTTTCTTTTTCTTTTGCATTTATATGGGTAAAATCCCAAGACAGTATTATAGTGCTTTGAAGTCCTTCCATTATTTATGGATTTTCTTCTCCTTGAAATCAAACGTAGGTAGATTTGCTGCAGTGATGGACATATTCTAGCAAATCAAAACAGCTTTTAAGTTCTGTGGAGCTCGAGAGCACAATACTTTCTTTCTTAAACCACTCTCAATACAAAAAAAATCACGGCTTCTAGTGCTTAAGATTATTCAACTCATTAAGAATGGATTCTCTGCTGAATTATCTTGCAAAGTTAGTATGGAAATGTTCTTTGTTTCAGTGGATTGAGCAGATATTATGCAGCTGTAACCATGCAGAATTTCACACTAAGTTTTCACAATCAAATCCAGTTCTACTCCTCAGCATCTTATAGAATCATAGAATGGCTTGGTTGGAAAGGATCGCAAAGACCATCCAGTTCCAACACAGGCAGTTCCACAGGCAGAGTGGCCAACCACTAAATCAGGCACACCAGCTCAAGCTGCCCAGGCTCCATCCAACCTGGCCATGAACATCTCCAGGGCTGGGGCATGCACATGCACATCTGGCCAACCCATGCCAGCACATCATCGCTCTCTCAGTAAAAAATTTCCCCAACATTTTGTTCAGATCCTTTCCAGTCTGCCTAAAGACAAGCATCAGATCCAAGAACTCCCATTTCAAACATCTACCCATGCAAATCTCATCCTGACTCATAAAAAGTGTTTTCACAGAGCAGTTCAAACTCTCTGACAGAAGGTTGGCATTTTTTTTTCTTTTTTGGTCACCCAAAATACTAGTTGCTTTGCAGAGGTGGCTTGTGGACATTAACCTCTGAACCTGTTAATTCTCTCCATGGCAACACAGTGGGACTTAGGGAAAAATGAAAAGAGAAGGGAGAAAGACAGAGAGAGAGCCTTTGGGAGTAAAATTGAGCCCTGGAGGGACCAAAGGTCACAATTATCAAAATCAGGACGAGAGCAAGGAGAGGAAACGCTCACCAAAATGAACTGCTTCAATAAATGAAAATGACTAATTATGGAGGTAGAGAGACATCACACCAAGAATAACCATAATGAGCTTTGATTACACTGCAGCTCTCACATTTTATTCTTTCAAATACCCACCACACTCTTTGAAATTCAAGAGTTCTCTTATGTTAACATCAAAAGGTAAAAGTGCTCTTGGCACTGTGTACTTAGTCACTGTGAGAGATGATTAGCAAATTAAAAAAAAAAAAAAGTCCAGGGCTTAAGCAAAATAAATAAATAAATAAATAAATAAATAAATAAAATACCCCAAAGTGCTAATTATACAGTTTCTGAGCAACACCTGGCTTGTTTTTGCTCCTTTAATCAGCCTCACTTCAGTTATGGCACAGAATCTGTACAGTGCTACATGCTGTTGGAGGAAGGAGGTGTTGGCTCTGCTTTTTCCCTGTTCTGAGAGCACTGGAATGCAGGCAAGGTATCTGCACGTGAGCAGGAGTGAGGTGTTGGTTGTGCAGAGCATCACCCTTCTTTCTTGCAAGCGCCAGGAAAGTGACAGGTGTAATATTCTACCCTCTAATTAGGGATCTAAATATTGGATGTGGTATTCACAGCACTCACACTGGGATGCCTGCCAAAGGACATGCTTTGGTTTGTCAGCACAAGGTAAATAATGAAGCCTCCCTGTTCCTGCTCTGAGGTCTCCAGCTGCAAATCTGAGGAATAAATATATGAATAAATCAATCTCCTCAGTGGAGAAGGGTGGAGAGAGAAGGAGAAAAAGACACTGAAATTATCCTTAAAGGGGGTCTCTGTATGGCAGCTTCTTCCCCTCATTCCTCCTGGGGTTTACACATGTAGTCCCATTCCATGCTACTGACGAGTCACCACCTTTATTGCAGTAAGCCTCAGAGCTGGACACAGGTGAAATTGAACACAGATGCAAAATAAGAGACTTACTCAAGGTCACTACAAAAGTGAGCAGCTCCAATAAGAACCCAGCAGTAGTTTCCACAAATGTGAAGAAACACTTTGCTATTCACCATCTCCTTCCCTCTGACCAGTTCTCTTCTGTGGTATGATACTCAGTCCTTACTACCTGGGCACTTTCAGGTATAGCAAGCATAGCTGCATACACATTCACGGATGCTGACAACATCATTTGCAGAGATTTGGGCATACCATTAGCTTAGCTTTTGTTGTTTTTTTTTTTTTTTTCTCATTCTTCCAACTGGCAAATGGCCAGAGAAAGGATCACAAAACCTTTAATTAATCCATTATTCCACATAGCCTGCTGGCTTTTCTCAGCAGTTTGGATGACGCAAATGGCTCATCAGCAAAGTGTAGCAAACGCCTGTGACGTGCCTGGTGTAAGGGCTGCTGCAGAGGCTGCATGCTGGAATCTCTGCGTCATGGGCTAGAGCATTGCCATCTCTATCAGGAGCCAAGTGCAACCACAGAACCTGCTATGCACCTCAGCCTCAGTGCATGTTGGGCTTTTGGGATCCCAAGTGAACACGGCAGGGCTGAAATCTTGGCAAACAAGAGCTACCCCTATGTATCTACACGACCTTAGAGCCTACAGCTTGTTGCTATAGGAATAGCACCATCCTTCCTCTTATATACACGGTCCTGTGAGAAGTGCTCCCTGGTGCCCTGGTTTGGACAAGCCCAACGATCACCCTTGGCACAATTCCTTCCTCCTGCAACTGAGGTTAATAGGCAGCGTTCATTCTGCAGCAGAGGGGGAAACTTAACTCACTCAGGAAACCAGGTGTGTAATTGCAAATCTTCCACCAGCTTCCAACAATCACCTCTCCGTTCCTCACCTGCCACCTGGGTTATATCAAGAGTGCACCATGGAGAAGTAGTGATGAGAATGGGGACAACGGCTGCATGCAGTGATTGGTAGTGTTTTGAGGTACTTGGTCACAAACTGTTCCAAAAGGCATGAAGCAGCTACAGGAGGACATGGTTTGTTTGTCTGGCCAATGGAAAATGATCCATGCTGTTACAGCCACCATGGGATGGTGTTATCTGGAAGACCTAATTAAACTAAGCATTTGCTTCTACAGATCAGTCAGAAGGCACAGCAAATGAACCCACAGAGGATGAAGAGGCAGATGAACTCTCAGCTGGGTCCAACCACAGGCAGAGAGATGGCAATACAAGCACAGTCATGGCCAGAGGGGAGCAAGGCAGGAGCCATGTCACAAGGAAGACTTGCTACTAAGGGCTGGAGGGATCACAGCAAACCCCAGAGTGCTGTTTCCAAAAAGAAAACAGGAAAACTTGTTGCTGGAAGGTCATCTCCAAACCACAGGAATTAGGAGAAAAAGTGCTATTTCCTAAATGTCAGCTCATGAGTGCACAGCATGGCAACTACAGAGAGGCAGGGGGAACCAGGCATAATGTCTAACATCTCTCATGTGGCAGCATCATTCCTGATCATAATTGCCAGCAGAGTGAAGTGCCAAGGTATGGGAGAGATGAGACTGAAGTCTGTCCCCACACTTCCCACATTATAGATGCTCTAGAGGACTGTGCTTGACTTTGCCTTGCCATCCCTGTTACAGTGGAGTCTGGAAGATGATAGCCCCAAGCAGGGCACTGTAAACGTAAAAGAAAAGGTTCAGCATGAAGGACTTGGTACATAATATGAAGTGTCAGTGCTGTGCACACCCAAAATCCAGTCACCCTAGACAGAGAAAGCAGTAATAGGTTATTAAGTGTGAATTGAAGGAGATGGGATTGGGCAGAAAACCATAAAGCAAAGCAGGAATTCAATTTTAGGACTGTCAAACTCGCCTGTGGCATGGATTGCACCCACCTGAGGATGGATGCTGCTTCTAGAGGAGTGCTTATTCAGGATGTGACGGTGAACACGGCAGGGCTGAAATCTTGGCAAACAAGAGCTACCCCTATGTATCTACACGACCTTAGAGCCTACAGCTTGTTGCTAACCAAGTCTTCACTATGTGAGCATGGAACATAGCTGTGAAATGTTTATTATTGTCAGACAGCAGAGAACTTTCCTTAAAAGAAGATACCAGCTGAGATCTGGACACAGGCCTCTCAAAGGTGTGATGGACACATTTCATTATATATTCCCTCAAGTGCAGCAAGGCACATGCTGGGATTAAACACTGATTTTTAAATTCTGCAGTGAAAATGAAGCCTTTGTCTCTAACTGACTACAGCAAAATCCAGCCAAGAACAAACAGACAAATTAAAGAATGGCCACATTCCCAGAGCATTCCAAAGTGCACCCAGAAGAGAACAGAAACCATCCTTGAAAATCTTGTCTGCATGTGTACTATTAGAGCTTCTCAATTAGTAAAGCCTTTCTGGCATTGGATGGCTCAGTGGAGAAGCTCAAGCAGCAATACCAGAGCAGATTTGCAGAATGATGACCACCCCTAGGCAACAGGGACAGCACAGAGCTGAGCACTGGTACCCAGCTGCATTTAAAACTGTTATTCCAGGCTCTGTAATATTCTTTTGCCTCTCCTCTCAGACAGCCCAATACTAGACCGGAAAAGCAAGCACAACTACTTGCTTCCCTAGCACCTCTCTGTAAAACCTACTTCTCAGAGACCAAATTTCATGCTAATTTCCCCTGGTAATTGTGCTCATAGCTGGTGGGTCTATTCACTTTGCTGCAGTGAGTGCTGGCACATTCTGCCTTTCTTCACAGAAAGCTCAAGCCTACTCACCCTTTCTAAAAGCATTTACGACTATGCTTCAGGAGACAGAGAGCTCTTACCTCCGAATGGTCCTCAGCAGAGTAGACCTGGCCTCGTTGTGGAAGGTGATGACAATGCTGGTGGGAGGGAGATCCTGGCGGTAGCGCAGAGTTGTACACCTATGGAGAGAAAGAGAAAAAGGGCCTTCAGATGCTGAAATCCAAGGTGGGACGTCATGAACACAAGAAGAGCAGAGTGTTCTCCAGCACGCACTAACTCAGTTGTTGCTTTCTTATTGTTCCACTCAAAACGCTTTCCAAATCCTGCCTTCGCTTGACCTAGCCATATTTCTCATGACTACACAATCACCAACCTTCCAAAAAATCATCATTCATCCAATTATAATGCAATGTCCATCCTCAAAGCACCTCAAAGGTGCACGCCCACTCTGCATGCAGGAGAAGCGTTGATAACATTGCTCCATGTGGCAACACCCTCGTCCATCAAAGCTACATCTCAGAGAAGCAAAATATGTTTCTGAATTACTAACCAGCACCAGGCCATGCCCTTCTGTATCAGAAATAGTGCAGTCATCGGAACTAAGGAGTTGATCATTCCTCTGTACTTGGCACTGGTGAGGCTGCACCTCAAGTGCTGTGTTCAATTTGGGCCCCTCACTGCAAGAAAGACATCAAGATGCTGGAGTGTGTCTAGAGAAGGGCACTATAGCTGGTGAAGGGTCTGGAGCATAAGTATTACAGGGAACAGCTGATAGAATGGGATTGTTCAGTCTAGAGAAGAGGAGGCTCAGGAGACACCTTATTGACCTCTACAATGACCTGAAGTGAGGTTGTGGTGAGGTGGGGTTGGCCTCTTCTCCCACATAACAGTGACAGGACAAGAAATAATAGCCTCAGGTTGTGCCAGGGGAGGTTCAGGTTGGATATTAGGAATAAATTGTTCTCAAAAAGAATGGTGAGGCAGTGGCACGGGTTGCCAAGGAGTCACCATCCTTGGAAATGTTCAAGAAACGTGGAGATGTGACAGTGAGGGACACAGTCAGTGGGCATGGTGGGGAAGGGTTGGCAGTTGGACTTGACCTTAGTGGCCTTTTCCAATCTTAATGATTCTAAGCTACTCATCTCATTGACCCCTTGCATCGTTCAGTAATGCAATGCAGCTGAGTTTTCCCAACCTGACATCACAAGAAGCAAACTGCTTTTGCTGCTCTGTGCACAGGAGAGGCTCTCACTTGCTCTGCAGAGCTGTGGTGACAGACGGTACCAGTCGCTCTCCGTGTGCTATTTATACACAATTATCTCCCAGCTGTTTTGAGCTGTGTGTCCTTCCACTCACTTCCAGCACGAGGCGGGGGAGTCTGCGTAGCTAACAAGGGAAGCTATTTCAGGAGAAGAGCAAGAGAGGGTGGAAAATACCGAGCCATCAATACGTTACTACAATAGTTAAGAAGCTAATAAATAATGCTCCAGGGTATGTATCAGCCACTCATGGGAGAGCTGGGGATATTGCACACCAGCTGAGCCCGTAGCGATGTGCTGAGAGCTCCCTGTGCAAGGCAACTTGTCTTTAAAACTCCAGATCTGTTCGTGCTGCGTCAGCCCAATTAGACCTCATGCACGCAGAAAGCACTAAAACTTCATTCACGAGCACATCCAAAGCTTGGTCACCAGCTCTATGGCTCGCCCCTAACTTCTGTTCAATGAGGCTTGTAACATCCCAAAGATGGGATGGATGACTGCGCTGCCATTACTGCATAGGCAATGGCCACTGCTGCTTCCACACCCCACATTACACGACATTTGTTTCCTCCCGTTGGCCCTCTTCCTGCATCTCACCCCCCCCATTTTAACAACAGCTACACATTCCGGCTCCTGAGAAAGCAGATTTCAGCTTAAGTGGTTTTTTGGCACTTGCTTGGGTAATAAAAACCACAGCTTGGAAAAGCATTAAATCCACCATGTCCAGGATTATTTTGTGTGACAATTACATCTGGGGTAATTTCAATTTAATACCTCACTGCAAGTGCAAATTGCAGTATGCAGCCCTAAAATTGCTGTAATAATGAAAATAAACCTGCTAACAACTGCCTGTGCTACCTCAGGCTGTCACTGGATAAATGTTTTGTGCTGCTTGTGGTATTTCATAGGTCACCCAATTGCCAACAAGAAAAAAAAAAGAAGCATAAAACCCCACCCACAATATTTTCAGGAAACAAAGAAAGAAAGTTTGAAAGATTTTTTTTTTAAGATTGTTCCTTAAAAAACAAAATAACAAAAAAAAAATGTAATAACCTTGCAGTGTGATGAACTTACAGGCTGAAGTCATTTAAAATTGAATTTTAAAGTCTTGCAGCAGGACTGGGGAGCAGTGTTAGCACTGCAAGTGCTAGCAGGGATGTGCAGCAGCCTGCAAGGTGGGAGCTGTAGTTGCTCAGTGAAGCTGGAGGGGCTCAAACCACCCAAGATAGAGCATCCACACACACAGACTATTCTGCCTTTATCCCAGAAGCCAAGAAGTTGAGCTTTCATTTAACGATAAGTTTCACTTTTCTGAGGTTTATTTCCCATTCCAATTTGAAATAATTTCAAAATTAAAGTTGTTACATCACAGGAGCTGCAAAGACCTCTTGCAAAATCCCAAACTTGGGCATTGCTACAGCTGAAGACACCTCAGCACCTCACAGACCTTCAAAGACACTGTTTGAAGACATTTCTCTTAGTTTGTTTTGACCCTCCTGCTCCTGACCAAGTTATCAAACACTCGCATAGACTCAATGCACAGCCAACTCTGCATACCTAGAGGTTTTCCTGAGGGGAAACACGTCAACTTCCAGAGCATTTCAACCCATTTTGGGTTTAAATTGGCTCATAGTGCCCCTCAACACACCAAAGCCTGTCTTGGAAACACAGAGCAAGCAGCCCAGTGATAACAGCATGACTGGAGACCAACTCTGCATCTAAGCCTTTCTTGGTCCATTCATTTGGAGCGTGCTTTTTCCTTGACACTTGCCATCCACTTCCAATGTGTTCTCTACATATTAGTTTTGAGCAGCAGATGAACTACACATGGTGCAACCCCCCCTTTTCTCCTTGAAAATGTGTAGGAGAATGGTCTAGCCAGCATGCACCTCAGACTGTTTGGGTTTGCCTCCACACTGCAGCCATGGGGCTCACATCAACCCTCTTATATCAACCCAGAGACCTGACATCTCAAACAAGATGCATTCACATATACATTTGTACCTTACCAAAAGGATGGGAGCCCTTCTGGAAATCAGTAGCAGTCCATAAGTGAAGAATAAAGCCAAGAAGAGCTTTCTCTTGTTATATTTTTATCATGAAAACTAGCTCAGCACTCTGTAGGCTTGTTGTGTTCACTGTAACTGTGTTCACACAGGGGGGGTCAGCGCTGCCTTCTTCAGGACATGTCATCCCCATAACTATTTTTGGTTCTCCTTGAAAATCCCCAGTCAAACAGACCACTAAGGATGCAAAAAGTTTGAGCAAGGGTGAGAATGCACAGTACAACCTGCAATAAATATTCAGTAGTGGTTAACATCAGAGCTGGCAAGGAATTATTTGGTATGTGTTAACTAGATGCAGAGGGATAATACTAAGGAAGACCATCAGGAAAACACTGCCAGTGTCTCAAACCAGTTTGGGCTGTAGAGTAAATTCCCAGAAGAACACGTACTACCAAACCACCAGCACTAGCAGGGAATCAGAGCTGCCTGAATGGTCATCACTCGCACTGCCTCCAGGAAGTTCCAAAAGATACTGGAGTTCAACTCAAAGAGCAGGTTGGCCAAGGAGGAGATGTTCTTATGTAGCTTCTGGCAGTTGCAGTAGTGTTATATTTAGCTGGTGCACACTTAGTATTTCTTTTAAGTTGCTCCCTCTTTTGGTTTTCTTCCTTTCCTTCCTACTTTTTCTTCCTTCCTTCCCTTTCTCTCTTTCTTTCCCTTAAAGATGGATAATAAAATAATTAATCCAACAGCTACTTTTGAAGAAAGGGAGAAAAGCAAGAAGGAAAAAAAGCCTTCTGTGCACATGATGTGCTGCTTGCTTGTGAACCGACAGACAAGATGATTCATTAATAATTTATTAACAATTCACTGGATTTTATTCTTTGGAAAAGGGGAGGAGAATAAAAAGAATCTACTCAAATGGAAGGAGAGAATAATATAGCTGCATTCAAAGCCAAGTTAAACAAGACTGTACATCTTGATTTTCAAAGAAGCTCATGAATATTTTGGGATTCTTGGGCTCTCCACACTGACTCAGGGCCTATACTGTTTCTCCAACCGATTGTGATTTAACCTGGCTCAGCACCATGCAGCCAGTTGCTTACTTTCCTCCCCATGCAGGAGGATGGGGGGGAAAAAAATGGGAAAAAAAACAACTCATGAGCTGAGATAAGGACAGCTTAATAAGAAAGCAAGAAAAGGAAAGAGAAACAATCAAAAATCAACAACAACAGAAAGAATAAACAAAGCAAGTGATGAACAATACAACTCCCACCACTATCTGAGTGATGCCTAGTTGGTCCCTGAGCAATGGCAGCCTCCCTAGCCAACTCCCTTCATGTTATTGCTCAGCATGATGCCACAGGGTTGGGGACATTCCTGGGCCAGTCTGGGTCAGCCATCATGGTTCTGTTCCCTTCCAGCTCCTTGTGCACCCCAACCCCCTTACTGACAGTGTAGCACGAGAAGTTGGGAAGTCCCTGACTTAATGCAAGCACTGCAGGTAGTGAGGGTGCTTTTGATGCTTTTGATGGGGAAAAAAAGAAAGAATTTGCTTGCAGCCTGAACTATCAACCGTAGCCAACTTCAGAGAATTAGTTCCATTGCTTGCTAATACCCAACTTCGATTTCAGTCTAGGTAAACATATCAGGTCAATAGAAACACTGCGACAAGCATGAAAGTTAAAACAAACAACTTTATTCTGTCAGAATTGCTCAGAGCAAGCTATCAAAGTAATCAATGGCACATAATAATTATAAGGCAAGTAGTCAATACGTTATAGCAGTCAAAGGAAGAGGGAGGCTCTAGCAGGGAGTGATCAATGGCAGCCTGGGAGCACCAAAGCACTTGGTGATGAAGCAATATCCATCCTCTGAAATCACTCGTGGGCCCTGCTATGGTTTAGGGCATGC